CTGCTGCTGCTGTTGGTGTTGGGGTGGCGGGTGGGGGGGGGGGGGGGGGGGGGGGAGCCGTACATGAAGGCCGCGATCTGCGTGCGGAGGTCGGCGATGGAGATGAACTTCTTCAGCAGGTTCTTCGGCAAGATGTACGTACACCCCGCGGGCGCGACGGCCTCCGAAGACACGTACAGGTGGCGCGTTCTGAGGTGTAACGACGCCGCGGAAATCGCGCGAACTCGCCAATCTGTCTTCGAACTAAACACTTGTTGTTCGTGAGGAGATTGAGTGGCCACTATCATGTCTTCTCCGTGAATGTTGACGCTGCGAGTGGTGGTGGAGGTCACTTGCTGCTGCTCGCGGGCCTGCGCCTCGATCTCGGCGATCTGCTGCCGCTGCAGCGACGGCGGCGCGATCTCCATCCCGAGGATGATATCCCGGATTTCCGACTGAGTCAGAGAGGCCACGTTTACATTATTCTTTTTTGCATAATCTCCCAAGATCAAGTCCTTCAGCCCCACCTCCACGTGGATCCACTCCTCGTCCGTCAGCGACGGCCAGATGTGGTGCGGCTGCGTCACCACCGACTTGTGCGGACGCAGCAGCACCTTCGCACGCTCCGTGTTCACCTGCGCAGCAGCAGCAGCAGCAGCAGCAGGAGTCGGCGAACCAGCAGCAGCAGCAGCAGGAGTCGGGGAACCAGCAGCAGCAGCAGCAGCAGGGAGGAGAAGGAGCCCGGCTGTGCGGGAACTGCAGCTGCACGCGCAGCAGCGCCGCCAACCCGTCCGCGAGCACCCAGCAGCAGCAACTGCAGCAGCAGCAGCAGCAGCAGCAGCAGCAGCAGCAGCAGCAGCAGGAGGAGGAGTACTTGGAGGGCGCGGAGGAGCAGGAGGAGGCGGGAGAAGGCGGTGTAGGCGGAGATGGACTTGAGCCAGTCGTCGAACATGTTGAAGAGAACCATCTCGGGCTGCGTGGCTCTGAGGATCATATCGCCGAACTTCTCTATGCGCATGAGGGCCTGGAAAGGCAGGTTGAGTTCGCTGCCTTTGATCACAATGTTGGGAAAGTCCAGCAAATGGACTTCCAGAGGGTCCAGCATTCCTTTGCGAGTGGCAATGATTTGCTTCGGCTGCTCCTCCACGGGCAAAGACCGAATCAACGCAGCCACTTCTTCCGCAGTCTTCCACCGCGCCAGCTGCGTCAGCCGCTTCTGCCCCGCCCACACCGAAGTGTGAATTATCTTCAAAAACAACTGACCTGCGCAAACACAAAACTCCGAAAAAACTCAAAAAATTAATGCCACTCCTGCCTTTAACTTCGCCTCCAGCAGAGGACTCCAACGAGGGGTCACAAGGGGGGCCCCAAACGAGGAAAAATGCCAAAAACAGACACAAGACACACTCGGGGGGCCCCACGCGGCCCCACAGGGGGCCCCAGGGGGCCCCCAACCCTGTTTCACCAGGGCTGAAAGATCAGGGTTTATTAGCGGGAACTGAACTGCATCTCCTCAAACCCTAATAAACCCTTATATACCACTTACAAACCCTAATAAACCACTTACAAACCCCAATAAACCACTTATAAACCCTAACAAACCACTTACAAACCCCAATAAACCACTTCTAAACCCTAACAAACCACCGCTAAACCCTAGAAGGCGGACCTGTGCGGGGGTTGAAGATGAATATGACTCCGTTGACGGGTTTGGTGGTGAGGTTTCCTTCGAAGGTTTTGTGAATTGTGACTCTGTAAACATTTGTGTCATCTATAAACCAAACTGTTTGATTAGAAAACAATTCTCCATAATTTTGCGAATTCAAATAAGGCTCCGTGGGCTCCGAAGAGTACAACTGCAAACCCTTGCGAATCCGCTCCCGCAACACGTACAACGCCGGGTTCGCCTGCACACCCCAAACCCTAAACCCTAAACCCTAATTAACCCTCAAACCCTAGAAACCTCAAAACCCTAATTAACCCTCAAAACCCTAATTAACCCTCAAAACTCTAAGGAACCCTCAAAACTCCAAGGAACCCTCGAAACCCTAAGGAACCCACAAACCCTAATGAACCCTCAAAACCCCAATAAGCACTCACAACCCTAAAGAACTCACAAACCCTAATGAACCCTCAAACCCTGATCCTACTATCTAAACCCTGATTCTCCCTCGAAACCCTCCTCAAAACTCTAAAGTCCCTCCAAACCCTAACTGCCCCTCAAAACCCTAACGTCCAAAACCCTAATCTACTGACTCTTCTACAGACCGCTCACTCGCCCTCCCAATCGACACCAAACAACCCTAAACCCTAAACCCTAGGAAGCCCTCATAAACCCTAAGCTAAACCCTAATAAACCCCAATCACCCCCAACAAACCAGTATAGGCCCCACAAAGCCTACCAACCCCCAGAAACCCTAGCAACCCCCCCTAAACCCTAACAACCTCAAATAAACCCTAACCCCCCCCAACAAACCCTCACAACCCCCAGTAAACCCTAACGGCCCCCCACAAACCCCAATCCCCCCAGCAAAGGCCGGAAACCCTAAACCCTAGGGTTTGCGGACCTTCATGATCTTGTTCATGGCGCGCTGCATCAAGGGTTTGAGGCCCGGGAACCAATTGCCAAACGCGGAGTGGAGGTTGTAGGCCAAGTCCACTCCCACCAAAACCCCCGAAGGCGAAGGATAAATGGACATGTTGTCAGTTGTGTAATCCAAGAACTTGGAGCGGCAGTACCTCTCTATGTCGTGGCTGTCGTAGTCTCCCCAGCGCAGTTGCACGTCCAGCCTGCAGCAGCAGCAGCAGCAGCAGCAGCAGCAGCAGGTGCGCTGCAGCAGCAGCAAGCAAGCTGCAGCAGCAGCTGCAGCGGCGCCGCAGCAGCACGCCCACTACAGCAGCGGCAACCGCACCGCAGCAACAGCCGCAGGCAGCGCAGCAGCAGCAGCACGCCCCCAAGCAGCAGCAGCAGCAGCAGCAGCAGCAGCAGCAGCAGCAGCAGCAGCAGCAGCAGCAGCAGCAGCAGCAGACCAGTGCTTGGTGGCGGTGGCTCCCTCCATGATGTCCTTGCCCTCGGCGAGAAGCGAGGGTTTGGAAATGGACCATTTGTAAGTTGCAAAAAGCAAAATGTCTGCACAAGAAGAATTCATTTTGTAAGACTTTCGAGGATGAATAGTTTCTTTCTGCACTGTTTCCACTTCCAAAGAGTCCAACTCCATGTCAAACACCTGAAACACACCAAACCCCAAACCCTAAACCCTAAACCCTAAACCCTAAACCCGAGCCCTTGGCCGCAACAAGCCGCAGCCGGAAGTTCAGCTCCCCGCGCATAAACCCTAAACCCTAACCCGTGGCCAGCCAGGCACACGCAGCCGGACGCTCAGCCCGATCTCATAAACCCTAAACCCTAAACCCTAAACCCTAAACCCTTCTAAGGACACAACACGCGGGCTGCAGCCGAAGCCGCGGCGGCGGGCTAGGGTTTAGTTGTTGCGACGAGGGTTTAGGGTTTGGATATTGGGCCTCAGTTTCCTGGTGAGAAGATTTGTTTATTTCAACGGAGCTGCAAAAGCAACTCCTCCAAATTAGCATGACTATTATAGTCATCCTTGGCCCTAAACCCTAAACCCTAAACCCTAAACCCTAAACCCTAAACCCTAAACCCTAAACCCTAGCCGCGCCAGCCCTAAGTTAACCAAGAGCTCGCCGAAAGGAGGCGCCCCACTCCCCACAAAAAGTAGCACATTTACCAACGAAAGCCCCCCAGCTTTGCCACCCGTAAACCCTAAACCCTAAACCCTAAACCCTAAACCCTAGGAGCAAAGTATCAGACAAAACCACCAAAGAAACAGCGGGAAAAACACCTAGCGAGCCAGCTGCTGCCCCAGAAACCGCTAACCCTCAAAACCCTAACTAGACCCTCGAAACGAATTCGTGACCAGTGGTCCACTGAGTGGTCCAGCAGCAGCAGGGGGCCAAACCCTTTTATCTTTTTTCTGTTTTTGCAAACCCTCTTACTTGGCACAAGTCCATTACAATGGACTCGTGGACTTTTTGCCACAAGTGAGCTCTGAAGATTTGAATCAAAGATATCTTCAAAGTGGGAATCTTCCCGTGCATGAAAATGCCCGTCAAGTCCAGTTGCACCTGCGCGAAAACCCCAAACCCTAAACCCTAAACCCTAAACCCTAAACCCTAAAGCTCTGAAGCCAGCCGTGCAACGGTGTAGTTCACGCGGCCTCTCAAATGCGCTGCCAGCCGCCACTGCCGCGGTGGCGGCCCGCCGCAGCACTCCCAAACCCCAAACCCTAAACCCTAAACCCTAAACCCTCGCACCTGGAACCCCACGTAGACGTTGGCCCTGTTGATTGTGGGGGACCACCAAAGCGTGAACCGCCTATTAGGGATTTGGTTTAATCCGGATCTTTGTGCATTGGTCAGTTTCTTGTACTTCATGCTCTCCTCGAATCTGAAGCAAACCCTCCCTAAACCCTCCTAAACCCTAAACCCTAAACCCTAAACCCTGCTCCCTCCCCCGACGACCCTCCGCACCCACCCCAAACCCTACCCCCAACCCTCCCAGTTCCTCCCCACCCCTCCCACGCCGGATCCCCGCCGCCCCCGAACCCCCAAACCCTAAACCCTAAACCCTAAACCCTAGCCTGACCCGGAGGCCTTTTCCCAGAAGAGCCCCTCCCAGGTGGGGAAGTAGGTGCCCTTGAAGAGGGTGTGTTCGAGGATGCCCTCGACTCCGCCGAGGGCCTGGATCATGTCAGTGCGGTAATTGTTCAAGTTCCAGAGTTTTCCGTCATGTCTTTGGTGAGTCCACCAAAAAGGATGGGCTTTGAGCTGCTGGAACTGGCGGAAGTCCTCGCGGACTCGCCAGCCCTTGTCGTAGGCCAGCGTGTGTCGGTCTTTCTGGAACAAAGTGTTGATCCTGGGGATCCCCCGATCCCAACTATCTTCGAGATCCTCCAAAGTGAGTCTGCGACTTTGCGCAGCAGCTTCTGCGCGCTTCAACGCGTACTCCGCCCACACGCGCTGCGACTCCACGAACTCGCTTTCCCACGTTTGCAAGTACCTGTACAAGTTGGGGATGAGTTGGTCTTCTTCGTGCGACATTCCGGATCTAAAGTGAGTTATTCCGGACTCTGTTTGTTGACTATATCTCAAATCGGACTGGGGAATTAAAATGTGACCCATCGACAGCATTCCCAAGCCCCCCAGCTCCTTGGGAGTGTAGAAGACCACCGGGGGAAAGCGGGAAGGCATTTTGGAGTTGAGTCCGATTTTGATTCGCGTTTGGATTTTGTTTTCGCACTTCACCAACAAGTCCAGCAGCGCCTCCGTGTGCACCACAGCCTCTCGGAAATAAGTCATCAGCGAGATCAAAGTGGTGTTCCACTTGTTCGCAATTTTGGTGAAGGTGGTGGCGCCGCTGGACATCAAGACCATGCGGACTCTGTTTTCGAATCTGCGCATTCCGTCTTCGCCAACTTTCAGAAAAGCCTGCGCTGCCATTTCTTTCGTGGCTTCGTTTTGCAGCTTCCAGACCCCCTCCCGCTGCAGGAACTGCTCCGTCTGCAGCCGCACCTTCGGCAAAATCCGGCACTCGAAGCCCCCCATGCTGAACAGCAAGTTCGGGTTGTCTACGGAGTAGACGGAAGCGAAAGAAGAAGTCCAGTTCAGAGTCGCCAAAGACCGCGGCAGCCGATTCGCCATTTCCCAAAACACCGCGCGACCCAAGTTCACGTCCCGCTTCATTCTGCAACAAACGCCACACACACAAGTACTCCCACGCAGCTGCTAAGCACTAGAAACCACACGCAGCAGCAGCAGCAGCAGCAGCAGCAGCAGCAGCAGCAAGACAGCAGCAGCAGCAGAAAGAGAGCAGCAGCAGCAGAAAGAGCCGCAGCAGCAGCAGAAAGAGCCGCAGCAGCAGCAGCAGCAGCGAGCAGCAGCAGCAGTAGCTGCAGGGCTTGTGCGTGTAGCTACTTTTAAAGGAAATGGGAGCAGCAAAGAAAGGCTGTTTGCTGCGAGGTGCAGCAGCAAGAGGGAACTTTGGTTGCTTCCACTTTTAATTTTGGACACAAAAGACCAGCAATTCCTCAAGTTCGGGAAATTCAAATTTAAGAACTTTTGAAAGAAAAGGAGTTGTGGGGCCGAAGTCGAGCAGCTAAGAGCCCCGGACGCCCGGCTAGGGTTTAGGGTTTAGGGTTTAGGGTTTACCTGCGCATTCTGCAGTCCCTCGGCCAGCAAGTCTTGTTGGGATACCCCACGACGTTCTCGTTGTTCGGGTCCGGGTTTTCCGTCAAGTATCTTTGAACTAAATCTCGACTTTCTTCTTTTGTGAATTTGAACACCACCCAGAACCGGTCAATGTACCTGCGGTGTACAGACACCCAACGCACACGCAACACCGTTCAAGAGCTAGCCACCCAGCTAGCCAACTAGCTAACTAGCTAGCTAGCTAGCTAGCTAGCTGCCAGTTCCCTAGCTAGCTAGCCAGCCCCCAAGCCCGCCACCTCCCCAGCTCCCAGCCAGCTAGCTACCCCGTGGGAGCGCCCTCCCTCCCCGCCGCGCCCCCCAGCCAGCTCCCCAGCTAGCTAGCTCCCCAGCTAGCTAGCCAGCTAGCTCCCCAGCTAGCTAGCTAGCTCCCCAGCTAGCTAGCTAGCTCCCCAGCTCCCCAGCCAGCCACCCAGCTAGCTAGCTAGCTAGCTAGCTAGCTGACCTGCAGTAGAGGCGAATGGGGTGCCTGGTCTCCGTCTGCACATCGGGAAAAGACAAGAACTCATTAGGGAGCGCAGGCGGCCCCGCAATCTCAGTGGCGCGGGTGAGGCCCAGCAGCAGCAAGTCGAGGACCAGCGCGTAGTACTGGAAAACGAAAGAAGAAAACTGAAGACCCCGAATGAGGCCGAAGGAGTTGACGTGCGACATGTCTTTGAAGCTGACGCCCACGTTGTTCTTGGCAGTTATGTAGTCCGCGATGTTGTGGTCCACTATCAGACGCAGCAGCCGGTTCAGCAGAGTCAAATCCACCTTCTCGTACACCTGCAGCAGCAGCAGCAGCAGCAGCAGCAGCAGCAGCAGCAGCAGCAGCAGCAGCGGCAGCAGCGGCGGTGGTGGTGGTGGTGGTGGTGGTGGTGGTGGTGGTTCCGCGATTCGCAGCCGGAACCCAACCCAACCCCACCCCGACCCCCAAACCCTAAGCCCGAACCCCACCCCACCCCCAAACCCCAAACCCTAAACCCTAAACCCTGAATTAGGGTTTACCTTTTCGAACTTGCTCTCGAGGAGGACCAGGGTTTCTCCGTCCGCGGTGTTCCAGACGTCAGTGAGGTTGTTGATGCCTTGGCAGAACTTGAAGACGAGGAGCGGCGGCGGCTCCGCGTCTGCGGGTTTGACCCAAGAGGGAAACAAGTGCCTGGAGTCGCCTTCGTACCAGAGATACTGATCTAGGTAAGCGTCAGTGATCTTTTCAAGAGGATCTATTTCATAAATGGGAACTAAATGCGAATACAAGTCCATAAACTCAAGTCTAAGTTCCTTAAAAGCCCTCTGAGTCAACAAGTGCCGCTTTATCCGAGACAAAGCCTCGTGGGGGTTGTCATAAGCCTGCTCAATCAGCCCGAGTTCCTCTCGCTGGCTCTGGTTGAGGCGGCTCTTGACGGAGTAGAACTCCTTGAGTCTTTCCAAGGCCAAGACCAGCAACTTGGTGTCGTGTTTATAATTCAAAGGGGGAAATGGAATATGAGTGAACCTCCGAGACTCCAGCCAGTGAACTGCTGTTGTGTAAATCGCCACCGCCTCCTCCCCGCTCAAGTACGGGCCGTCCTTCAAGTACGCGTGCTGCCGCTCCTGCTCCGCCTTCAGCCACAGCCGCGTCAGCCGCCCCAAATTCTTCCGGCAAACTGTTTTGTCCACAGTGGCTCCTCTCCGGATTCGCTCTCTGTTGTAGTAAGCTGCGTTCGTCCACCAGTCCGCCTTCATCTTCACGTATCTGCAAACAATCCATGCATGCATGCATGCACTTGCATGCATGCAGTTGCATGCATAAAGTGCATGCATGCAGCTGCATGCAGGTGCGTGCAGGTGCATGCAGCTGCATGCAAGTTGAAAAGGTCTTTGGTTCATTCAGAAGTGGTCTTCAGCGCATTCAGAAGTGAACAAGCTGAACATGGTCTTTGTCTCATTCAGAAGAGCTCTTTAGCGCATTCAGAAGTGCTCTTTAGCTCATTCCGAAGTGAACAAGTTGAAAAAGGTCATTATCTCATTCAGAAGTGCTCTTTAGCTCATTCCGAAGTGAACAAGTTGAAGGAGCTTTTCATTTCATTCAGAAGTGAACAAGTTGAAGGAGCTTTTCATTTCATTCCGAAGTGAACAAGTTGAATGAGGTTTCTACTTGACTCGAGATTTCGATTCCATTCGGAAATAACCAAGTTGAAAAGGATTTCCACTTCATTCGGAAATGATCAAGTTGAAAAGCAATTTCATTTCACTCAGAAATAAATAAACTGGAAAACAACTCCATTTCTTTCAGAAATGAACAAACTGGAAAACAACTCCATTTCATGAAGAAATGAATAAACTGGAAAGCAACTCCATTTCATTCAAAAATGAACAAGTTGAAAACAATTTCATTTCACTCAGAAATGAATAAACTGGAAAACAATTTCATTTCATTCAGAAATGAACAAATTGGAAAACAATTTCATTTCATTCAGAAATGATCAAGTTGAAAAACAATTTCATTTCATTCAGATATGAACAAGTTGAAAAACAATTTCACTTCATTCAGAAATGAACAAATTGAAAAACAATTCCATTCCATTCAGAAATGAGCAAGTTGAAAAACAATTTCATTTCATTCAGAAATGATCAAACAATTCATTCCATTTAGAAATAAAAAGTTGAAAAACGACTTCATTTCATTCAGAAATGAACAAGTTGAAAAACAATTCCATTTCATTCAGAAGTGATCAAACAATTCATTCCATTTGGAAATGAACAAATTGAAAAACAATTCCATTTCATTCAGAAATGATCAAACAAACAACATTTCATTTCGAAATAAAAAGTTGAAAAACAATTCCATTCAGAAATGAACAAGTTGGAAAACAATTCCACTTCCATCGGACATGCGCAAGTTGAAAGACTTGGACTTCATTTCAAGTTGAAGCAAAACTTCATTCCGAAACGAGAAAGCTGAAGAAGTTTCATTCAAAACAAGAAAGCTGAAGAGGATTTCTCCAGAATGCAAAAAAAGAAAGTTGAACAAGAAACTCCAACTCAACCCCAACACAGCCGCGCACCCAACTCGGCACTCAGGGTTTAGCTAGGGTTTAGGGTTTAGGGTTTAGGGTTTAGGGTTTGGTACCTGAGGATCATGTTCTCGATGGGCGCGGGGAGCCCCGGGACCTTCCAGGGGATGTTGGCCTTCCAGCAGCGCCAGGCCTCGGACAAGTGCTGCAGAATAGTCCGCGCCTTCGAGGCCTTCACGCCCTCAGGCATGAGATCGAGAATGTCGTGCATGACTGCAGCGCGAAGTTCGAGATCGAAGTGCGACTCCACGCGCTGCTTGGTGACCGTCTTGGCCGTGCCCTTGGACACGCGGCCCTCGAACTGCCGCGCCAGCAAGTTGCCCAGCCAGCGCTCCAGCAAAGGCAGAACGCCCCGCAAGAAGAAGAGCCACACGCGCCACCCCGGAGCCCAAAAGCCGCACCCCGGCCCCTTCCCCACCGGCCCCGTGTTGAACCGGTAGTATATCAGGTGCTTCAGGTCTTTGCACATCCGCACTTGCCGCATCAGCCGGTACTTGTACCTGCAGCCACCCACTCGCAAAGAAACCGCAAGGGAACGCCAACCATTCAGCTTTCCCGATCCTCACGGATCCGCCGACTCGGAGCGAGAACTCCGGCTAAAATCCACTTTAAAAACCAAGAAAGTACTCATGCAACAAAGCAAACTCGCAAATTCAACAAATTCAAGACTTTAGTGCAAAAGTGCCGCCGCCGCCGCGCACCCCAGTTTCAGGTGTACAGGCACCTCCGGCGCGCGGGAAGCTGCGCCGTTTTTGCAAGTTTTTGCAAGTTTTTGCAAATCTTTGCAAATATTTGCAAATCTTTGCAAAGATTTGCAAGGATTTGCAAGGATTTGCAGAGATTTGCAGCTGTTTGGGTGTTTTTGTGCAAGTGCTCACCGATACATTCCCGTGAGTTGTCCGACGTGGGCGAAGATGTACTGGAGGCCGTCGGCGAGCTGGAAGGCGTCGACGTTGCCGAGTCGGAACTGGACGTGGGAGTCGACGGTGAGTTTGGTGAGGCGGAGGATTTCCCTGCAGAGGTGAAAGGCGTTTCCGAACCTGGACTTCTTGCGTTCCTTGGTGGTGAGGGTTTTGACGGGCTTGAGGTTGAAGTTGTAGTCGAGGTGGAGGTAGTTCAAGTTCTTGCGGTGGATCAGCAAGTTCAGCATGTTGTACCCCTGGCGGGCCACCTGCAGCCCCGCCTCCACCCAGTCGATCTCCGTGACTTGGAAGAACTTGGTGGTTTTGAAAACGCGAAAGAGGTTTCTTTTCTTCAGAGACTTCGGCGGCCGCGAGTGCAGGTGGCACAGCACCCAGCACTTGAGCAGTTTCTGGTAAGAAACCCGCACTTTCACGGGATAGTTCTGCGGCGCATGTTCTCGAAACCAAGTTTGAACTAATGGCACATCTTGGGCCCTTCGCATGCGCCCCGCTCTTAAGTTGAAAGGCCTGCAGGCCCAGTACAGCGAAATCCCCGCGGCTGTGGTGTCTGTACACAGCGGACTCTCCTCCAGAAACGCACGCACGCTCCAAGGCAACTCGAAACCCTCCACCACCGACGGGTCTGCACACAAACCGGAAAACCCTAAACCCTAAACCCTAAACCCTAAACACAGCCAAAACGCCCCCTCCCCCTCCCCCAAACCCTAAACCCTAAACCCTAAACCCTAACCCTGGAGCGCGTCTGCGGCTCCCGCGGTCTTGTAGGCGGGGAGGGGGTTGATGATGGGGTCGAAGTAGAAGGCGGGGAGTTCGGGGTCTTCGGGTTTGACGAAGGAGACAGCCGGAGAATGATAAGGAGGCAGGGCCACGCAGCGGGGCCTGTTGTTGTACAAGTGGGGAAAAGCGACTCTGTACTCAGTGCGGATTTGTTGTCGAATAATTATTTTGGAGACATCATTGAACTCGTTCCAGTCCTCTTCTTCTTCCTGAGAGTCTCTGAACAAAGGCTCGAACTTGGGGCCTCCGGGGATGGCCAAGTTGAGGGCTTTTGCAGTGCAAAAAGCTTCTAAATTAAATAAATAAAAATAATTCAAGTCTTGTAAATCCGAAAGAAGTTGATGCGCCAGCCGCTGCAGCACGGCGAGCTGCTGCACCTCCAGCCGCCAGCGGCGGTAACTCGGGCCCGGCACGTGCTGCTGCTGCTGCTGCAGCGGCTTGCTGCAGTAAAGCCAGTCCGCAACAGCAGCATCTTCTTCTTCATCCAACTCCATTCTGATGGCTTCTAAAGGCTCCACTGCCAGCACATTTTCCCCATAATCCAACGGAGGCTCTTCATCATCAAAAGGGGGGAAGCGCATGCGTTTGAAGTGCCTTCTGTCTCTCTTTTCTCTCCGCATTAAAATCCAACAAGACCCCCACTGGGCGAGATAAACTGGCTCTATAACAAAGGGGGTCTCAGCCACAAAAGTAATAGCTCCCGTGGAGTGGTAGAGGACCCCCACGTTGCGGGCTTGTTCCCAAGGCATGGGCATGTTTTCGAGGAGTTTGAAGACTGCATGCGGCAAAAACTTCAAAGCCCCGAGATAGACTCTTCGGTCTTGGCGAAATTTCCTGCTGCTCATGTCTCCGTGGTCTTTAACTAATTTCCGGAGATGTTCCGGAGGCATGGGCTCTTTTGCGGTGTACGTACACCCCAGCTGCTGCCGCCAGCTGTACCGCTTCGAGGTCAGCTGCTGCCACTTGCGCGCCTTCTCCTGCAGCAACTCCTCCTGCGTCTTCGCCTTCCCCCGCTGCTGCTGCTGCTGCTGCTGCTGCGGAGGGGGGGGAGGGGCCTGCGAGGCCTTCCCGTACGCGCCGCCCACCTGCTGCTGCTGCTGCTGCTGCTGCTGCTGCTGCTGCTGCTGCTGCTCCTTCTTTTCGGGGGGCTGCGGGGGGGCCGCGGGGGGGACGCCCAGAGACGCGGGCAAGGGTACCGAACCCGGGACCCCAGCTCCGGCTGCTGCTGCTGCTGCTGCTGCTGCTGCAGCAGCAGCGGGAGGCAGCGGGGGCTGCACGAAGGGGGCCCCCCGCGCGCCAAACCCAGGCGGAGGAGGGGCCCCCAGAGGGGGGGGGGCCCCCAGAGGAGGGGGGGGCCCCTGCTGCATCCACGCCGGCACCGGCATCGTGCCCCGCTGGTTCGGCGCACCCGCTGCTGCTGCTGCTGCTGCTGCTGCTGCTGCTGCTGCTGCTGCAGTCGGCAGCAAAGGAGCAGCCGGACGCCCCGCGCCTCCGGGAAACC